TTTATATTTTATATATATTTTATATATGATGAGAGCTCTGTGAAGCTTGTTGTTTGACTCCTTTACCTTGTTAGGATTTTTGATATGGAAAAGTAATAGCCACAGGGGCAACAGCAAATGCAAGTAGTGTTGTGTACTGGTAGTTTGTCTCCCTAACCAATAATTTCTTTCTTTCTCCAGGGTATAATTAATTTTGGTACCAGTGAGAATAAACTCTGCTTTGATCTAATGTCCAAGCGGGTAAGTCACATCTCCAGGAGAAATATGGAATACTCCACTTAATTCCTGCTTAGTATTGGTGATATTCTTGGATCACCATTGGTGCTTAGATCCCTCATAGAGAACTAATTTCCCATAGTACTTCCCTTCATCCATTCCATCACTGATGCAGAATGCCATTGGCTGGTCCATTTTCTCTATTTAATTTTGGGTTATGCATTTTTTTAAGTTATCTTTTCAGAGAAACTGGAAATAGTAGTGTCTTCTAAATACATTTGCTTTCCTCCTGCTAACTGGCTCTTCAGTTCATGCAGAGGTTACCCCAAATCTTACAATTCGGGGGTGTCCATATTTGCAGACAGAGGGGCTTGATTTAGTCTGTTTTCAAGCTTCACAATTTTGATCCAGTTCTGAACTGTCCCAAACTTGAGAGGATTTGGCACCAGTGACCAATACAGGTGCAATAAACTGGGTTATCTACTAATGGGTAGTTTTGCTCAGTTACACTAGGGAAAGGCTCAATACAGACAGTATAGCTCAAACTACAGATTGCTTCAGCTGAAAGAATCTCTTTTGTTTCTCATTGAGCCACATACCCAGATTCAGGCTGTTATGTGGGGTGACAACAGTTTGTCTTATCTAGAAACGTTCATGGGGAAGGATGGGGTACTGAGTTTGTGGCACAGGAAGTCTCCTCTGTAGTTGGTTGAAGTTCTTTCACTCCTACTTCACCACTGCCAATCCTCAAAATGTTCCTTGTTTTATTTCTGCCTTCCATGCCACTGACTCGGGGGGAACACTACCCCAACACTTGGCCTTCCAGCTAACAGAACAGGTAAGGCAGAACTGCTGCCTGATAGTTGTATGTAGAAGCCCACAAGGTTCTGTTTAGGATGTC